CACCAAATTCTTGTAAATAATTTACAAGGAGATATGTTGCAGCAAGAGGGGAGAATCAACAATCAGATCTGTAGAGTTGAAGGGTTAATTGATTGGATACCTTTCTTACACCCTGCATGCCAAACTTCCTTGTCTTTTAGACAGATATCCTGATTTGTCTCCTTTTCATGCCCTAAACTGGTATCATTATCCTATTTCAGTTTGTTATCGTCACAGAGCATTCCAGCAATGCCCGATCACCCACGAATGGATACATCAGTAAGTGGAAATAACGGACTACCCAAGGGCCACGTCAAGAAACCTCTTAATGCGTTCATGTTGTATATGAAGGATATGCGCTCAAAAGTCGTATCAGAGTGCACGCTGAAAGAAAGCGCGGCAATCAACCAGATACTTGGAAAAAGGGTAATGCCAAATTACAGATTACTGTAGGACATGGTGTTTTCGTACTTCCAAAACAGTGTTCACCATTCAATAGCTGCATGCCTGAACCTTGGTGTGTCAAGGTTATAACAGACTTTTGCCTAGTACTATATGTTTCAATCTTTGCCTGGTCAGTTGTTACCAAATGTTTCAACAATCATTCACTTGGATGTTGGAGGCATTTAGTAACAATTCTGTTGATTGTCAACAATGAAAAATGCCTCGTGTTCTGCAGTAGTTTTTAATTTCATTACCAAAAAACATAAAGCACCCTTAAAAAAATTGAATCTGTTTAAAAAGAGCAAAAGAGCAAAAGTTGTAATAACCCAGTATGACCAAAGGATGGCTTGCTGCTCATTTTTATTTTTTATTATTCAATTAATTTGTTAAAATTTTTCATTTCTTTCTTTGATTTAACCTTTGTAGTTTAAAAACATTTTAGGACTCTCTAGAGTTTATGTCTAGAGTTGTATGTTCAAGGGCTTAACCCTTTAACTCCCAAGATCTCATTAGTAATTCTCCTTACTGTCTCCCATACAGTTCTTGTGATGTTAGTTTGGAGAATTTAGTATTGGATCAACTTATAATCCCCTAAGTAATATTTTTCTTCATTCTCATCACTTTTCTGCTTGATATTGTATTGATATTGTAAGGAGAAGTTCTGTCTTGGTCACTCGTGGGAGTTAAAGGCTTAAATATGCTTTAGGCCTGACTCTGTGTCATTTTACAGGCTCAGGCCAGACTTTGAAAACATATTTTTGTAAAATAACAGCAAAACTGTCAATTTGAACCTTTTAATTCTCAGTCTTAAACTTTTTCTCCTTCCTTTCCTCATCCAAATTTGTACTGATGTACATGTATTTCCATGGAAACCACCAACCACATTATGAGCAAGGCCACCTTTTAGGGTAGGGGAAGGCACAGGCAACCATATACCAATAATCTGTTGTGGAGAAATATTTCTGACAACACTTGTCTTCTAAGATTTTTGTATATCTTTCAAATATGAATTTTTAAACACCCAACTCCCTTCAGAGCTTTTCAGTTTTAAATATAAGTCAATACATTAAATACCTTAAATGATGAAAAGTGAAAAACAATCTAAAAATATAACTTAATAGTGTAACTTAAAGAAGATTTAAATGATTTTTATTGTAAATGTAAAAGAAAATTTAATAGTTTGTAGTGATTAAGCCATCTGCCCTGGCCAAAGAACTGAGGGCAAATTTGTTTAACAGACAGACATTCCATCCAATCTCCTATCTTTTGGAAGTTTTAAGGGCACAGTAAAGTTGCAATTAATTCAAAGTTTATCTTAATTTAGATGTGTATTCACTTGTAATCTTGCGCATTTGTGGGAAACATAGTGTCAGCTGTAAGTGCATTTGACTCAGAACCCTGAGGGCATAGTTCAAATGCTTTCCAGCTTACTGTGATTTGTTCCCAATCAAGAAACACACATCTCATAATTCAAGCTCCGATAATTTGATGTTCAATTTATTCTTTCATTTCTTCTCCTTTAGTGGCATGCTCTTGATAGACAAGAACAAGCCAAGTATTATGAAATGGCGAGGAAAGAACGAGCATTACACATGCAATTATACCCTGGCTGGAGTGCAAGGGACAACTATGCGCAACAAGGGAAAAAGAAGAAGAGAAAAAGAGATAAATCGCAAGGTAACTGAACCGCTCAACTCTGGCAGGTGTGGAGCTGCTATCAGTTTGGCCTCCAGGGCAATTAGGAATTTAATCTGATGACTTGTCCCTTTCACTGCCAAGATTTTATTAGTTACTCTCCTGCTCTCTGCCAAACAATTCTTAAGTTGTAGGTTTGGAGAATTTGGTATTGAATTGACTAATAATCCCCTAATTTATATTTTTCTTTATTCTCATCATTTGTCTGTTTGATATTGTAAGGAGAAATTCTGTCTTGGTTACTTCTGTAAGTTAAAGGGTAAATTTGCTATGGTCTGAAGTCCAAGTGAGATAGACTTCTTTCTAAGATATTTCTTGTTTCTCATTTCTTCTGTGAAACTTTACCTTTTTCACCTTGATCATACAAGTACAAGCCTGGATTTGCCAAGTGAATTTCCAAGAATAAATGCAAATGGCCTAGCTACTTCAAAGACAAAATGTGTAGACTGCAATTTAGGACATCATGCTTTGCACAATGTGCCTTTTTCTTTGTAGCAATTCAATTTTTATTGTGACAACCATGAAAAAGTCAAATGAGAGAGTTTTGATGAGGGAAGGTGCCAATTATGAGGTATACACATTTAACATAGCAATTAAAAATATAATGAAATATTTTATTTTCATTTTTTTTTTAGCAGAAATTACAAATCCGAAAAAATGTCGAGCAAGATATGGTCTTGACAGACAGCATGAGTGGTGTAAACCATGCAGGTATGTTCTGTGGGAACTTCTTGGTAATTCCATGTTGGTCTGTGTAAATGCCATCATCACTTGTTAGTTATTGAATTGAAAACTTGCTACAACATTTACTTACATGGCTTTTATAAGCGACACTTCAAGCAGAATTCCTCTGAAGCACCTACACCTAAAAAAAAGAAAAGAAAATCCCTCACTTTTTAACAGGGGTGGCAGGGCAGGGGGGCTTTTTGGGCTCTGGGTCAGGAGGTCTGGGTCCATGACCTGGTTAGGTAAAGGGTAGAAAATTTCATCCTTATATGTTGTTTTTGTTTATATAATTTGAGGATACAGTGATTTGTATAGTTTTACGGTGCAAACATCACTATGGTAGATTCTCTGGTAAATTCTATTAAAAAAGTATTCACAGAGAGTTAAAGAATAGTGAAGCTTGGCTAAATCTATGTATAAGAATCATAATAAAATTTTTAGTCCAAAGGGCTTGGCTTGTTAACTACTGCTTGGTTAGTTCAGGTTGTAGAGCGGGGACTGCCATGAGGGAGGTCTTAAAAACAATTATGGAGAATGTGCTGTCTTTCCAATAACATTCGTTAGAAGTCCTAATTGATTAAAGTTCTCTTATTTTCTAATAAGGACACTAAACCCTGTATCATACATTGTCTCTGTACTGGTAAGCAGGGAATGTTCAAGAACCCATGCACATCTTGTAAAGAGTATGGAAGGTAGTTCCTGCTTTCGTGGTTTGGCCTTGTTTCCAAAATTTCCAACATTGGGGGCATCTGCAAATTTCTATTAAAGTTGAAAACTTAATGTCCATGCAAAGTGCTAGGTAGCACATCAGAGTGTAGTAGTATGGATAATGTGCTTTATAAAAATGTCACATCATCATCAATAACCACAAACTCCTTGTTTCAGGCGGAAAAAGAAGTGTGTCAGATTCTTGGCTGGTGGGGCAGGTTCACAAGACTTATCGCCCAGCAGCAATGCGACAAATGTAGAAAGTGAAAATATTGATTCAAACATTGAAAGCAGTAGTACGGCAATGATTACAACGACAACAAACTCTACGACACCAACTTCATAGCATTATGGATCTTTATTAATTATTATTATTGTAGAGTTGAAATTTTAATATCCTAGAGCCTATTTTAGTAGAAAATCAGTTCTGCAGATGTTTTATAGTTGCTGAAAGTGCTTATGCATCCTTTCTTAAGCCCCAAGGCAGATTAATGGGACCTTCTGTAACATATTTTGAGATTTATGAACAAATAATTACTGGTAAGTAAAATTTAACAGACACTTTGGGCTTTATTTTCTGGATATTTTGACAGGTTGTAACCTATTCCTTCATTTTAGGTTTAAAAGTAAATTTAAATCTGAGGTATGCGATGATACATACATTGAAATACTCTGTGAAAGTGGAAATTTCCCAAAATCTCTGTTGATTTGAATGGGATGGAAAAGAGAAATCATATGTGAGATGCATGGCAATCATTTTTTATCAATTACAGAATTACAAGATTTTCAATGTGAAACTCTATTTGTTTGGTTGTGTTCACAACTGTTGTTGCAAACTGTATGTATCATAACCAGATGTAATTTCACAGCATTTCTAAGTTATTGAGCAAGAGGTAGTCCCTGTTTTTAACAGCAAGGAACAATCTCTCTCTGTCATTGTCATTCAAGCCAACAAGATGGTCAAAATTTCTGCTCCCAGAGAACTGATCCCATTTTAATCCTTAAGTCCTTGAGCTATACATTTATTAAGTTAATATTGATAGGATTTTTTCTTAATCCAAATTGAAATTAAAAGAAAGAGTTTTAACTCCTCTTCATAGTTGTTTTATGGTTATTAAGTAATAAGATTTTCATTTGGAAGCAAAAAATGATATAAGTAATTTAAAATTCCTCTGGTTTATCTAATCCAATTGAAGATTATTTCAATTTTTGATAATAAAACCAGATGTCAAATATAGTGGACCATTTATTTTGCTGCTTTGTTCATAGAACCAGGCCATTTTCGATATATTAAAATTCTAACATGGCTCTGAGGCTAGAGGGGAATAAAACAAAATAAATTAATTATTCATCCCTCAACCTCAGTGTGATTTCCTATGTTTTATTCCAGCAAGCCATGGAGCCAAGTTTGAATTTTAACATATCAAAAATGGCCTATGATTCACAACATGCTTTGTTCAGGAATATAATTACTGAAGTACCTCAACTTAACACGTACTGTATGTATCCTTGCCACATATGTATAACTTGTGTATAGATCTTCTAAAGATATGTAATATAGGTTATTACCAGTTCGGTCTTCTATGTGTAAATCTTTCTTATTAAACTGTTGGCAAAACATGACCCTTGCATAAGTATGCATTGACTTTGTGATCTGTATGTCCCCCTTATTTTATTAGTAAGGTATATTTTCAAGTATAATTTAACTCTGAGGTCCAGTTGTGTAAAGGGTGGAAAATGCCATTCAACAGATAGATATCTCTCTGGCATACTGTGTTGTCCATTGGATAGAGATTTATCCATTGGATAATAATATTCATTGTTTTGAATAAGTGAGGATGGGAAGTTCAGAAAATTAGTGAAAGATTTGAAAGAAAGTATAAACCACATAAGTAAATGGTGCTTTTCGCATGCACTGATAAGCTAGTTTGGAAGTGAATGACAGACTAAAATTCACCTCCAAGCAGCCAATAAGACAAAGTTACATGTTAATAGTAAAATTTTAGACCATTTTTTGATATTATGAAAGCATGAAAAATTTTTTGGTAAATGTGTGGTATTTACTAAAACAATTACTCACCTTGGTGTGGGTGAAAGTGGTGGATATTTACCTCCTCTTTAGTAAATAATTGTTAGCTATATTTCTGTTGTCAGTTGACAGGTTACCGGTATACTGTCACTTTATGATTGTAAGCCAAGTCTTAGCAAAGATGTTTACTGACTGCAGTACAGCCTGTATTAAGTAGCACCATGCTAAGCAGTCACCCTGTATTAAGCAGTCAGTTTTCAAAGTCCTGTCCCCTTAACTATCGTAATTTTCACCTCTACGAAGTGGTCATGGTCATCTTAAACACAATCCCAACAGCCTGTTTGTAGTGTCCTTTGCATGTTTTGAATGATCACTTGGAGTGAAATTACTCAAAACCTAAGAGTTGTATTTCCTTAAAAATCTAATCCATGTTTATCTCCCAAACTCGTGTTTGTGGTATTTTTGCCCAAGTTTTGTACATTACGTGGTCAATTATGGTGTTAAATTGTTTATTTGTTTATTTATTTTTTTAATGATACCCTTATTCTGTGGAACCTCTATTATTGGTAAGCAGTCACCCTGCAATTTCTCATAGGTGGCTGCTTAATACAGGTCTGACTGTATAAGAACTGGGAAACATCAGTTAGCTATCGAGCAACCATCAGTGAACAGAAGATCAAATATTTATAAATTGTCAACCAAATATTAAGTCAGTTAACTTTTGGTGGACTTTTCCGTCAGCTGTTGAATGATATAGCAACCAAGGCTATGTGTAGCTTATACACATGATCAGATGCTAATAACCATAGGCCTACTCTGATAAGAAGAGCCCTAGCATTAATAGAAAATTAGAACATGGTGATCAAATATTCTTTTCTTGCAGTGACTGTGAAAACTTTACCTATTAAGTCCTACAATCCTAAGAGATCTGATAGAATTTTGGTATCAATTTGATTGTTTACCTTATTCATACCCAGAGATTTTTTTATTTACTTTGATTTTTACAAACTTTCAAACAAAAAACTTATTTGACCATAAACATTGTTCCCTAGCAAACAGATCTTTAAGCTTTCTTTGAATTAGCCTCAAGAGAGCAGCCTGGAAAAAATTAGAGTACACCATTGAAGATTGCACTTAATATGCACAGAAATCTTGCATCACCACATCAACTCTCAATTAATTTGAGGGCTTTTTCATACAGAGCCATGTTCACTTCAACATTTGCAATTCAGTGGGTTTTGTTTGTTGATTGTGCGATTGATGTGATGTTAAAACAGAACTTGATGTCAATAGCGATCATTAGTGTGGAGATAAAATTGTTTTGCGGATCAGCTTACTGCAGCTTTTAAGACCAAATTGTCATATTTGTTTCAGTGAGACAAAGCAATAAGCACTACTAAAAGTCAACTTCAAATTCTCAGAAGAGATCATTGGTCACAGCAAATTTGATCTTTTAAATTTTTGGCAGACTGAGTGGATAATCCCAGAAACGATTAAGATTGTGCCACCGCCCAACCAGAAGTTGATAATCTGGCATTCTTAAACCTAAGAGACTTGATTAATCCTTTTTGTCTTATATTCCGTGGTGAGGGAACTTCAAGATCCTAATTTTTTTTTGTCAGGGATGCTGATCAGCATGCTACAGATAAAAAACAGTCATTGGAACACAGCAATCACAGCATTGATCTTTTTTCAAGTAATGTGTAACTTTGTTGTCAGATCAGACCCTTTGGAATGAATACCCAGGGAAGAAGACAGCTGTGAATACTTTGAACTTTTTGAGATTTCAAGACAAATCCCTTTAAACCATGAAATTTTGAGACAGTACTTCCCATTACTTAGAACAGATTTCCTGTTGCTAGACAATCAAATGTACTATTTTTAGATAGAACATAATGCTGTGGAGAAATGTAAATATTTTATTGTACATGAATATAATTTTAGGAAAAATATAAAAGGCAAAAACTGGTTTAGTAAATATTTGTGGTATATGTTGACTTTCAATTGCTTCATCTCACGTCTGGCTTCAGTTCAGTGAATCAGATACCCAAACAGGAATCTATCACTGGGTTCTGTAACCTGTGAGCAGCTCTCCCTTCTCTTCCTCCTCCTCATGGAGAAAATACAGAAAGATACTTGAATACGTCAAATACTTTGCAAGAGTAAGCAATGGCCACTTCGTCTGTCCCTTGTTTCTTTTTTTGGGTGGGGGGAGGGGTGGGGGGAAAGAGATGGTAGGGAAGGGAGTGGTAAGATGTCATGACCATGCCATCCCCTCTGCCTTCTAATCTCTGTTTCCGTCCTGTTGTTCTCAACCAATAATTCGGCTGCTCATCTCACCAATTCATTCATAACAAAAATTTCCCATTTCTCCATGAATCCATCCCACTTCTGGATTTTTCCATTTTCCCATTTTCCCTGTCACCATTTCCTCGTCTCCCTATTTTTCTTTTTCTCGGTTTCTTAGTTTCTCCGTTTCCCCTTTCCCATAATTTCCATCACCTTGTTATCCCATTCCTCTCTTCTCTTCTTTCCATTTTCCATTTTACCATTTCCTGTGTAAACGTTTTGCAAGACTCCGTCCCTTTTCTTCTTTCACCACAATGTCCAAATGTCACTGTTTATCCATTTCTTTACTTTCCCTTTTCACCGCTCATATGTATTTCCTGCGTACTTCGCGCCCGGGCCAATGGCGGAATGGAAAAGCGAGGGAGGATTGGGACCTCCGCGATCTAACGCAAATCTCCCTCGTTTTCTCTCTTTTCTCGAACTCTTCCGCAACTATCACACCGTTTTCAATCACGCTTCGTTTTGCATGGTAAACGCCTGGAACAGGCTTATACCTATCAATAGGAGAAATAAGGGAAACAAGTGATCACGTGACCAAGTGCCTGGCATTGCCAAATATGGCAAAAAAAACAAACTTTTATTTTTTTCAAAGTTTCTTTTTCTCTGTCTTCTTCCTATCCTTCTTGTTCCTTTTTTAATACCAGTGTTGCTAAAAAATGCTGCCTCGAGATTATGAAAAAAATAATTCCAGTTCTGATCATTACGCACAGAATGCTGAAGTTAAGGATGATTTGGTCCGCTAATCATTCAACTCGTTTGTTATATCCTAAAGTAGGGGCATGACGAAAGCGCTTATTAACCTCACTGTCAGTCAACATGGCAGAAATTTACCTTCTCTCCAGTGAGAAATTGCACAACGAAAGTCTCTGCGCAACTATGAAAACTTGGCCTGAACAGTGTCAAAATTACCCGCAAAAAACTAAATATGACCAGAATTTCCTTAAAAGGAAGAATGATTGTAAACTTTGAAGGGACTCAAAACATCGAAAACATCATCAATTAATAATAATTTTTTCGCGAGTCTAAATTTGGTCTTTCGTCTTCCTGGAGTTATTCGGCAACATGACGTCTACAACTGCTCAGAAAAGCAGAATGAACTAGAATTCTTCACATTGTTAGTTGCATACTTTCTTGAGAATAAAATGCGTATTGGATTATGAGAATTAAACTTCAGATCAGGACACCCACTTAATTCACATTGAAGCCAATCCTATTTGGGTTCGGCTAGCAGTTTTCTTTATTTGTGCTATTTCCACCATCACACCCTTCCGGAAATCCGAGTATTATTTTGTTTTCGTATAATACTATCATTTCTTAGTGATCCGCTTTTTGTATGATCGATAAGGATTGCTCTTGGCATACATCACAAAAAATTCCCTAATTGTCTTAAATTTTTGCGATAGAAACAATTAAAGTTATGCTTCCACAAACTAAAAGTCGCTCAAAGAAGTTCCTGAACTCCATGGAAACTGTTTTCAAAGCCTTTGCTTGTTTTCCTTTGAAGCGATAATTTGTATCTAGTAAATGTTTTAGGGCTTCCTATGGGGCCAATATTGTCTTGGTTCATTAAAACAAAAAAAAGATTGTCAGAAGTTAACAACGTTTACGTCATTCATTTTTCAAAGCACACGTTTTGTTGTGTTTGTTTTCTTTCCATCACAATGTTATTTTGCATATAAAGGGACTCGGAAATAGTTATTCTGTCATTGGTGTTTTGGGCTTGCTGCCAGAAGTGTGAAAGACGCTTTTACAAGTTGAGATGCTAACCAGCTTGTAAAAATCTTAAACGTCGAAAAAGGTTTGCTAACTTTATTTTGCTTTATTGTGCGTTGGAAAATTGTCAGTATACTGGAGTGAAAATCCAAGAGCTAAATATATGGTATGGTAGATTAAGATAATTTGGCTTTTCTACAAGATGGAAACACCATCGCATGAAACACGAAGTTTTGAACGAAGGTGGAGTGTTAAAAATTCAAGGAATTGCTTCCCAGATAATCAACACTAAATATATCTTAGCTCCTCTCATGGGAAGTTTATTTTGCTGCTAACCACACTCGCATGACCCAAGAGACTCCAGCTGACAAAGGTACGTAACTTGAGCTCCAAATTAAATAAATATCGTATTATGCAAATATAATGCGAGCTTACTATTTCGCTTTCGTCAAACGATCTTGCGGTCGACTAATTCCTCATCTCTTTCAGCTAAAATGCCGAAGTGTCCCAAGTGCAACAAGGAAGTGTATTTTGGTAAGTGCACCCTTCTTTTCGACATTACAGTAACATTAGGGAACGGTTTAGTTAGCTTCACAATTTCGAGACGTGCATGGGGATTAAAAATTCTTGACAAGGTCACCCATTCTGATCGAATTCATCGAAACTGTTTTGTCGTGCAGAAAAACTGATTCTCTATCGATTTGATTTCGTAGTTCCAGCTGGAGCTTCTAACACGAATGATCGAATCAACTGTAATCCCTGTTCGGAAGATTCTTGCAAATGCTTGCAACTTTGGAGAAATGTTCACTACACTCTGCATATTTAATTATTTTAGTTGGAGCGGGACCACCTTTTGGGAGCTTTCTAGCCGTTGGTATTCAGCAAATCGTAGAAATCTGCGGTATTCATGGAGAAATTTAATTTGAATTTATTATTATGTAAAGTTGGAGGGTTTGTTGAACCGGACTTTCGCGTTTTTGAGGTAACATGTTAGGATAGACTTTAAGCCATTGCAGCCTCAACGCCCTGATCGAAGGCCCCTCCGTTTTGCATATCACGCCTTTGGCGCTGACTTATTACACTAATTGGCCCCAGTAGGGCGTTCTTACAATCTAAAAAGCCTTGTCTCAAACGGGTGAATAAAAAGTAATATTAGAGATATGCAATCCATCCTCTGAATAATATTAAAATAACGAAATTCGATGATTGAATTGTATATGGGAACCAGTAACACGATAATTTGAACTCCGTCTACGAGGTCTTCGAATTAATTGCAATGATACTTCTCTAAGTACTGAATTTAGGGATACTGGACCATCGATACTAGACACTCCTCTGAGCAGTGGACCGGCAAATGACAATAATTCGTTTGTCTGTGTTTCAGCTGAGAAGGTGTCTTCTCTCGGCAAAGATTGGCACAGGCCTTGCTTGAGATGTGAAAAATGCAATAAGACTCTGAGTTCTGGTGGTCACGCCGAGGTAAGAGTTTTTCCTTTTAAACTTGTCGGAGAGTTGTTTTTCGAGATTCTCTTGTAGTCAGAATTAGTCTCTATGGTATTCAGAGAATTCCGAACAGGAAATTTATATTATTAGCGTCTGTTCAGGGACTATCATTAAGACAAATAGAAAATGCTAGAAGCTATGTCTCATTAAATTGATAGCCGCGCATTGTTTACAGCGAACGGATGACGAGCTCTGTCTGGTATAAAAAATTGTGTTAATAATCGCTGTGCACCACCACGCGAGACCCTGTCCCCATGTGCATTCTTTTCATAAAGGCGCGCGGCACGGAAGGATGAGAGGAAAGAGAAAGAAGTAACGCTTTCTCCTTTCCCAAAACACCTAGCATTCCCTCGCTCGACGTGTTATCAAGACGATTGGGAACTAGTCTGCCCGAAAGCCGATTAGAGTGTGCAGGAGTACCTTGAGACGTGGGGTCTGAAGTTGATTTTGACAAAAGTTGTGCAAAAAAATGTGCGGGGTCCTCGTTGCTCAGGTGTTACAACGCAGTTGTTCGTGGCCTGCACAGGTAGCGGTTCTCTAGGTGTTCGATGAAAATAAAGGCGTTGGAGCCGCGAAAATAAGGGGGAAAACCTTCCGCCCCAAGCCCCACCCGTTTTGTCCAGGTCTGCTTCTCGACACTTCAAAGCGCACTCAAAAACCGCTAGCTATGCCGGCTAAGGTGACCGCTAAATCAAAGCCTCAGTAGCGCACAATAGCCCTAAATCCTGGATTGTATTGCTAATATGACTATATCTTTTTAAAAATTTTCCAGCACCAGGGTAAGCCGTATTGCAATAAGCCATGCTACTCTGCTTTGTTTGGCCCAGGAGGTTTTGGCCACGGTGGAACAGAGTCACATAAATACTGACTTCACCACGCACTACAAGTGAGAGTCACTCTGTTGCTTACTGTATCCGCACACGCCAAGCTCTCGTTTGAGCAAGCGGCGAACGAAGCGAGCGCGGGAGAGTTTTGCGAAAGGTCTGGAACGAGAAATCCTCACGTTTTGAACCCTCGCAGATCCTGCACAGAGCACTCGCGCACTTCCATAGCTCGCGGGCTCAAAACTCGCAGGCTTTCCTCGTTCGCTCGTTTCGCTGTGCCAATGGATGCCTGGGAGCCTAATACGCGCCACGCACTGATGGAAAGAAAATGTAGGTATATAATTTGACACTCCTATCAACAAAGTGCTTTTCGATTGATCGTCATTAAACTGTATTCGATATAATCCACCAGAGTAAATAATAACAACAATTCGAAGATTGCAAAGAGCCAGTGGAAGCTCAAATGATGTTAAAAAACAGATCACCTATTACCTTCTGACGTCCAGACACACATCAACACACACCGCTCGCGTGCAAGCTTGCATATCCCCAATTGGAGCTCACAATCCTTTTTTTTTTTGGGGGGGGGGGAGGGGGGGATGGGACAGAAATATCCCAGCCCTGGCTACACCCTCCTACAAAAAGAAGCATTCCCCTCTTCCTACTATGTTTTCCAGGCAAACACGTGGGGAAAGTCTTGCGTTCGTTCTCGATCATCAAAAAAAAAAACTGCAAAAAATGAATGTAAATAAACAAATTAACGCCTATCCCACTTGCTGCAGAAGAGATGATGGGAGATAACCGTGTACCTTAAAACATGACAGTGAGCATATTTTTGAATCTCTAATCCCTAGGTTCAGTTCAGACATGACTGACGCTGACCGCACCCAAGGCATAATTAGGACGATGACATGTTTTGTCTTTTGTAGCTCTTGCCAGTAATCCTAAATAAAGACGAATGTATTTTGTCACTTGTTGGTTTATTTGTTTGTATGTACTTTTTGACATCGGTTTTTGCTCTCTCGCAAACGGCAAGTAATGTATTTCTCAAGATTTAGTACAGTTACCTTCTCAATATTATCAGGAGGGCTCCTTGCCTTTAGTCTGAACATGAGTTGGCTTTTTTTCCCTTCAAACTCCAGTAGATATTTATTATGGAAAAAAGAAGATTTTCGAAAGGTTTCACATTCCCAGCGACTGCAACTGAAAAAAAATACGTTGCGTGAATACAAAAATAATCATAACAGTCTCCCAATCGACCCTACAACCTTTTCTGTAGACTTTCATTTGAAGTTACCTTCATCTCGTGCTCCCTTATGATCATGGGATATTTACTGTATTCCTTACCTCACGTCTGTTGACCGTAATTGTTATTATTTAATTATTGACGTAGTAATTTGCGGCCGATTTGTCTCATTCTTATGCGTCTCTGTTTACTGCATTTCCTCCGAAATGTCAAAGTGTCCGACTTGTAACAAAGAAGTGTTCTTTGGTAAGTAAAAACTGCCTTAGAGGGGTTTATTTAAATCAACACCGCTTACATGAAAACTACACGCGCGCTGTTCAAATTTCTGTCAACGTGATATTTGTATTTTCAGTATCTGTTTTGTCCTTTTTGCTTTCTACGCGTTGAATTTCATCAGTTTTGATTCATGGACTCTTAACTTGACGTTGTTAGTAGAAAATTATCAATAAAATCTTGTTCAGTATCTGAGGTAATGGCCTAACAAATATTTACAGATTTGGAAAATGCGTTGGCTTACGCAGGTCGGGAGATTAATTCATTCGCAGTCTTTGTACACGAATAATTTTATTCCGGTATTGTTGCTTATTTCTAGCTACTCAGTATATAGGTCAAAGCCTCATTATAGGACGACAAGATTAACAGTTAATTGTCAAACAAACTCTTTGTATAGCGGAGATTGTTAAACTAATTAAAATAGTTGTCTGGGGTTAAAAAAGATATTGACTTTATTGATTTATCTTTTTATCGCGAGTGAAACCCGTGTCTGATTAAAAACTCTCTCGTTTTTCTTCATTTCTAGCCGAAAAAGTGTCTTCTTTAGGAAAAGACTGGCACAGGGGCTGTTTAAAATGTACAAGATGCGGGAAAACGCTCACTTCAGGTGGCCATGCAGAGGTACATTGTCTGTTTCCTATCAACCTATCTTGTGCTGCGGTTTACCTTTTAAAGTTCGGAATCTGAAGAATTTGTCAAAAGTTAATCGAAACAGGGAGTAATTTATATGAAATCCATCATCTAATTATAATTATCAAATTCCCTCTTACACTCTTACAACATGCTAAGATAAACATTTATTTGTGAACTTTCTGGCTACCATTTGTAGTAAATTATTTTGAAATGCGCGGGGTTGAATACTTTGCACCTTTCAGTCAATCTAAAATTTGAATTTGCACTTTTCATGCAATTAAGCAGAAACTTTTAGTGGTTCTTTTATTCATCAATTGTCGTTTTGTGGTGAAAAACGATTCAAAAGATTGACAGGTGCTGTCTATACGATTTATAGTACAAATGGAATAAATTAAGATTCTTAACCCTTTCCACATGCATAGGAGTTCTCTGAGTCAGAGTGAAATTAATTTTTCTGTGCTATAAAAATTCAGAAATCTGTTCAATTCATGACTGTTTTAAATGTTTCGTTTTTGAAGTTGAATCCACAGATCTGAACAATAATAATTATGGTTTCTTACACAATATTCATGACCTCTTTCTCAAAGGTTTTCTTTTTTCATACTTTTTTTTCCACTTGGGCCTCCACCCTACCCTGAGGGGAATTCCAATTCTGCTTCAAACTTTCCTTCCTTCCCTCAAAGTATTTTCTTCCTTTTTTTCCCTTTTAAACCTCTACCCTACCCTGAGGGAAATTTTAATTTTGCTTTATACTTTCCTTTTTTCTCTCTAAGGTTTTTTTTCCTTCCTTTTCTGCATTTGAACATCTTCTCTACCTTTAGGGAGATTCCAATTTAGCTTCCTGTTTTACCTCAGAGTTTTTTTTCCACTTGAACCATCACCCTCCCCTGCTTCACACTCTCCTTCCTTCCATCAAAGCTTTTTTTTTGCATTTGAACCTTCCCCCTAATGGAGGGAATTTCCAATTACACTTCACATTTTTTCATTTTCCCTAAAGGTTTATTTTCCCAGACCCCCAAACGCCTTGGAATTACAAATGATCCTTCATGGAGAGGGTAGAATTGAATACAATAGATTGAATCCCTTTTTTTTAAGCGTGTGGTAGAAATCTAGCTCCCAAGTTGTGTGCACCACTTGATCAACTTTCCATTGCATGAAATGACTAGCCATAATACCACATCCCCAGGATAGTTGGAAAGTCCTTTACAGACCCCCTCATCCCTCCCCCACTCCTTGAAGTCCTGTACTTCACTGTGGTTGACCTGGCAGACCCAATTACCCTGCACCCCGTGTCTGCCGTGCAAGGAACGCAACAACAGTATCAACACAATATCAAACAGACAAGTGATAAGAATAAAGAAAAATATAAATTAGGGGATCATTGGTTGATTTAATACCAAATACTTGGAACTAATATTGTAGGAATTGTATAGCATCGGCAGTAAAAGGGTTAAAGAACTCAACACAGTAATCACATATCAGAATACCAATGCAACCCTTTTTTGATTCTAGAGTCCCATGACACTGTGTCACTGACAGTTTTGCTCAGATGATTGTTTTTTTTTGGTATTTGCAGAAGGATGGTAAACCATACTGCCATATCCCATGTTACAGTCACTTGTTTGGCCCTAAAGGGTATGGTCATGGTGGAACAGAATCCCACACATACAACTAAGGATATCAAGTTATCATTCCTGAAGAGCATTTTGGTAGGTGAGATTTCAAGGCACATACACTTAACCCTTTAACTCTCAAAAGTGATTAACATAAAACTTCTCCCTACAATATCCATACATTATTTAGCAAACAGATAATGAGAATATTCAAACTTATCAGGTAGAAGCTGCTATCTTGATCTAGCAGCAAGTTCTCACAATTAATTTACAAGGAAATGAGTCCCAGCTAGAGGGGAGAATTAACAATCAGATCTTGGGAGTTAAAGGGTTAATTATCATATGACCCCCTATGGCCCTGCTGGTGCTTTTACTGAAAAACATTATCCACAAATTCGCCTTATGGGGGCTGTATTTGATAATGTAAACCTGCGAGCTTCAAGCTTAACCCTTTAACTCTCAGAAGTGATTAACCTGTAACTCCTTCCCTTGCTATCCAGCAAACGTGTGATTAGAATACTCAAACTTATCAGGTAAAAGTTATCATGATTTAATGCCTAATTCTTGTTACTAATTTACAAGGAAATATGCAGCAGCTAGAGGGGAGAATTAACAATTAGATCTTGGGAGTTAAAGGGTTAAAGAAGAAAGTGTAAAAAGATAGAATGATGGCAATATGATAACATGCTTCTTGACTGAGTTAACTTGGGAAGAACAGGAAAGTATTTGGCTCTTAAAGGTCATGACACTTATTTCTTTGCCCCAACTTTTTCGTCAGCCATGGTGACCAAATTGGTCACAGCTCAGAGTACTGGGAGATGTAAATCATGGTCTAAATAAAGGTTGACCTAATTGATAGGAAAGGGCTCCAAAGCATCTCAATTAATTAAGAAAGTGCAGGGGTTAATCCACAAAACCTAAAGACTGATATCTAATTTCTTCATACAGTTTCTCCCCTAAATCAAATATTAAGGTCAGGAAAATAAAGAAAATGATCTCCAAAAGGAGGAGCTCTTGATTATTTGACAAATTCTCTTATCAGTACCATAGGAAATGTACAGAATATGAATCAGAATATGCATCCAGATGTAAGGGTGCTTAGGGTTAATGTTAGTGTCCATGGACCAGGTTTGAAAAAAAATATATGAGAAGCATGATTGTTGTTAGTTTTGGAGCTTTATGAATGTTTATGTTTGTTTTCCTTTTACAGGTTAGAGAGAGAGAGTACAGTTTGCGTTAAGATATATTTCCTTTATTAATCACCTTTGTTCACTTTTTGGAATGACACAAGAATAAAGGTTGACAATAAAGTAAAGTTTGTTTTGTGACAGAGTCAGTTATTTCACCGTAGGGTGGGGTTTGTTCGCCCGCGTGAGAGCAAAGCAAGCCGGTGAGAGGTTTCGAAGAATCAGGCGCCAATAATGAGGCCTCCAGCGATAAAATGCTAAAATATACCACGCGGTGTGTATACTAATCGGTTCCCCTGAAATAAATACAAAGCTGAAACCAATGGTGACTTGATCAAACGCGGGATTTCTCGCTTCTGGCAATTTTTTTTCCCTTTGTGTGAGCCATTGAGGGATTTTCAATCGGGCCAATCAAAAGTAATCCACGGATGCTTTTGGTCTTGCTTCACTACGACCCATAACAAATCACGCCATTCTCTCAGCCAATGAAATGCATAGCTGAAACCAATCGCGACTTGTTCACCAGTGGGTTTTCCCGCGCTTCAATCAGTCTGCTTGTTTCTACTTTGAGTTCTCATTGGCTGGCTTCTTGTGATATTTTCCTTTATTCTAATTGGTCGCGCTCTGATCGGCTCCCTGTGACATTTTCTCTACCCCAGATCGGTCGTAGGGATTAGTTCGGTTTTGGCTTTAGTACATCCAATCGGAACGCGCTCTGAAGTACATGTGGATGGTTTTGGCAGTAGTATGTAGACGGAAAAGATTAAGGTGCCCTATGAGATAGATATGAATTGAATGAAGATCTTTTGAGCTTTAAAACTAATCCAACCACTCTTCTCCAATCAATCTTATTAAGGCACTTCCTTGCTTTAAGCTTACAGAGGCTAATACAAAGCTTATGTTAATCTCATCGAGTAGCATGGGAGTGGCTAAAACCTGACGGTAAGATCGAAGGATACTGTGGGATACTTATACACCTTAATTTTTACCAACGAGATACTAATGTACCTATAAACTTTTTAAAAACGTCC